TCAAAGAATTAAAATATGAGCACAGCCCACGATCCAAAAATTAAAACATGTTTTGTGATCTTCAGAAACCGATCTTTCATTATGTAATTGCATATTTTGGATCAGGGGTTGTGCTCTATATGAAATATTGAAAAAATACCTCAACTTTTGGCCATTTTATAGGGGTTTTACAGGATATGGGAAAAATGACGCATTTCATGACGTCATAATGCATTGACTAGAGAGAAAATTACGTCATGTTCAATAGATACACGGTCCACATGTGTTCAAGTTATAAATACTGCATTCTCAACCAAAACTGAGCAGTTTCGATTTTTCAGAAATTCTCAGGGCCAAAAAAGGCCCTAAGTGGCTCTTGCTCTTTGTGAATAGATTTATACCACTAAAAGATGTAGTGGTAAAACCGGACGATAAACCTTGGTTTAATTCTGATATTAAGAAAGAAATAGAATTGCTTGTTAGGAAAGCTTACAATTTTTTTTTTTTTAAAAACCAGAGCAAGAAAAATTTATTATTATTATTAATTACTTATTTCTGTAAAGTTTCTTCTGATGAAAACAAAGATATTAGATAAAGACCTTCCCTAATTTGAACCAATATCGGAAGCTAAACTTGAAAATGTTACAAAAGATGAAATTGAAATTATCGATATTATCAAAATTCTACATTCTAAAAAAGCTTCCGGTCCCAACAATTTCAGAGAAATCAAACCCGACAAACTACACACCAATCTCCTTATTGAGTTGTATAGAAAAGTCTTTGAAAGAGTAATTTTTAAATACATTTATAATCACTTAGTATTACATCTACTGTTATGTAACCTAAAAGCTGGATTTATACGTAACCATTCAACGGTCATCCATGCAGTTAAAAGAAATTTATCATAATATTTGTATTGCTCCAGACTAAAAAGTAACCTTGCTTTGCTAATTGTGATATCAGTAAAGCATTCGATACGGTTTGGTTGAAAGGTTTAAGATATAATAAAAATAGAAAATATTGGTTTGTGAACCAAGTCCTTGCTTTGTTAAATAACTATCTTACCAATTGTTCACAACAGGTTCAAATTAAATCATCGTGTTTTTCAGTGGGAATTAAGAACGAAAGCAGGGGTTCCCCAGGGTTCTGTTCTTGGGCCTCTGCTCTTCCTAGTTTATATAAATGACCTACATGTACCATGTTGTCTCTTAGGTCTCTCTAGACTATTTGCCGATGATACTCCCGTGACAAACACCGCTAAAAATTGCAGGACTTAGAAAGATTAACTAACTATGACCTAGAAAAAAATAACGAATGGTCAAAAAAGTAGCTTGTAAAATTTAATTCTACCAAATGTGATCGTGTGAAATGAACAGATTGTTGAGTAACATTAATTATCTTTGATAGTGCTAATTATAACATAATAGACCTTGACCGCAAGACATTTTGATGCCACCTGAACCTGAGTGAACATGTTAATTATTATTCAATTATATTAATTATGTCAATTATGTCCTTCTGCTTAGAGCTACTCTTCATTGTAATTGTTTCTTTCATCATTATTATAAATTGGTTGTTTCATACGAGATCGTCAGTTGGAAACTGGACCTTGCACTGTCCACACCGACTCACAGATCGTGTAGAAAACGCCAAGTTTTGGATCGTAATAAATTATTAAACGAAGTACCGACTTGTGTATTTCTACCGGTCATATTTGTATTTTGTAGTAGTTAGATCCTAGTACCTCATACAGCCAAGCGAGTTTGCCATCCTTCTTACCAGAATTCCCAAACCATGGATATTTTTCCATTTGTTCCTGCTTGGATGCGAACAGTCCAACCGCGCTTCACCTTGCAACAATGTGGACGCTGCGGATTAAGGCACGTATGGACCGTTTGCAACGCAAGGACGTCAACATGTTTCAGGTGTGGAAGAAGAGGACACTATGCACGGATGTGTAGAACACGGAATCCCAAAATCATCTGCGCTGTCTCTTCTATACCGACACGTTCCATCGAAACACAGACGGACGAAACTTGTACGGTGCGAAGAAAATCAAAACGAAAGCAGATCAGAGACAGAGAGAGAATCATCAAATTTCGTACAACCCGTAAAGAAAAATCATGTTTAAGTGAAATGCCCTTCTCTTCAGTAAGTGTGATTGAAATTCATTCTGAAACTTTGGAAACCCAAGCTGAAAAGTTCAGGCGGCATCCTACAAATCAGATGCTCGATGTTATAAAAACAAATGGATGTGTGAGCGGAAAACGTCTCATGTTCGACAGTCAGAGAAAGACAAGACTATCAAAGAACTCCGGGAAAAACTCTCAACTGTAGAAAAGGACCTTGAGGAATCGAAAAAGGTGATAACCGACTTTCAGAGTGACACCAAAAAGAAACAGGAACAGATTAATTCCCTCCTGAAAGATAAAGAGTTTCATTCCTCGAGGAAAGCAATCTACAGTGGACCGCCCCGTGGAGCCAGGAAACAGTATCCAAGGATTTCAAATATTGTCAGAAGTATGCCTGACAACACGAGACAAACTTGGAAACACGAGGACGTGTTTCGGGGGGCAAAGGGATACTGTGACCGTGTGAAATGAACAGATTGTTGAGTAACATTAATTATCTTTGATAGTGCTAATTATAACATAATAGACCTTGACCGCAAGACATTTTGATGCCACCTGAACCTGAGTGAACATGTTAATTATTATTCAATTATATTAATTATGTCAATTATGTCCTTCTGCTTAGAGCTACTCTTCATTGTAATTGTTTCTTTCATCATTATTATAAATTGGTTGTTTCATACGAGATCGTCAGTTGGAAACTGGACCTTGCACTGTCCACACCGACTCACAGATCGTGTAGAAAACGCAAGGTTTTGGATCGTAATAAATTATTAAACGAAGTACCGTCCAAATCTACACGGTTACTATTGGTGGATGAATCCTAAGGGTAAAACAACGCCCGGGGCCGCTGCATATATTTTGCAGTGGTCAGATCCCGAACCTCTACAGCAAGCGAGTTCCCCCATTGAACCACTCTGCTCAACGTATAAACGATGGACAACCACAGTGAACAACATTCATTGACAACACTTTCGGCATCTCTCTTTTGACCACCAGGATACTCAAACCTACGTTTCAGTTCGTGCTTACCGGTGTGTGAGAGAAGACCAAAGAACAGACTCCGAGAAATATATGTTAAATTCCTTCCAAACACGAGGACGTGTTTTTCCCAGAGCGGTGGGAAATTATCACAGTGAAAAATTCACTGTTCAAGAAAGAACTTTATTTTGGACTTTACTTTTCAATTTTCAAGTTGTGTTATATTTTATTTCTCACGATATGTTTCGCGAATCTAATTGTTTAATTAACCAGTGACACCTTTCGGACTCTTGATTTGTTGTTACAAAGAGACAGAGTGCTATGTCTCAAGAACTGTTAATCTCTTAAAACAACACTGTGTAATTATCTTTTTTTTAAATGTCCAAACATCAAAGCGTCATTGAGTTTATTTAATTAATCCATACCTGTGAATCTTTCACTCATTTCACTTGATGTCAACACCTGTTATCTATTTACTCATTATGTACATTCTTATAAATAGTCATGTATAATTTCAATCTTTAGTCTGGAATATACGAAGGCCAGTCTCGGCCACGTCCGACTCGTCAGGACTCTGAGTCCGGGGCCACTTCGGCCAAATCCGACTCGATCATTTATAATATGTCTGTTTGTTGATTCATGTAAACTGTTGCCATCGTTGAGACTCATCTAATAAATACGGAATCCTTCATCATTTGTTTTATCTCTGGAATTGCATATTGGTGGACCTTCGGGAATACGGCACACCTATACTTTGTTTTTACCTCACGGCCACACAGCGCCTCTACCTATACCTTGTACCCTCTACGCCAACATTCCCTCACCCCGTTCGTTCTGCAGACAACAGATGCAGTTCCAGACGAATTCCTAAGTGCCGTCCAAATTTAACCCACGCTTTATGTTTGACAATCAATAAATCGTCCCCGTCTTCAACTCACTGTCATCTTGGACATATTTTCGAATTCTGGGAAATGAACAAATCAAAGTATTTTTATTTTAATTAAAAAAAGGCTTCCAAGTTCCAAAGAAATTGCTGTTCTTAGTAAATTGAAATTATTAAATGGTGACTTCTTAGCTAAGATGTATATAACATTTATTAGACCCTTATTCGAATAGCATCAGAAGTATGGGATAACATTTCCGCAGCTGACTGTGAAAGACTAGAGAAACTTCAATTAGAAGCTGCACTTATTGTAACTGGCCGTCCAATTAACGCTTCTCGTAATGCTCTTTATTTTGGAACAGGATGGGAAACACTTGCTTATAGACGAGAAAAGAGAAAGTTATGTTTAATGTATAAAATAAAACATGTTCTTGCGCCAAAGTATTTATCCAATCTATTACCACCTGAAGTTTTGCAAACTACCCATTATGATTTACAGTGCGTAATAATAATAATGATAATGTCATACCCCAATGTAGAACAAAATTACTTCTAAAAAAACTCATTTTTTTCATCAATAATATCACTATGGAAAGCATTGCACAGTGAAACTGAAATCAGAAACCTGTACATAGATGTATTAAAAAAAAACGAAACGATTTTACATAACCAGCGTAACCATTCCGTATCTCTTACATGCACAACCCCTTTCCACTCTTTCCTTGATTCCTTGAGCTTTATTTTTGTATTGTATATTTATTGGTTGTATATCACGTGTATATCTCTATATATTTTCTTTGTGTCGGAGAGGACAGACTAAACTGGTAAAACTTGTGTCCAATCCTATAGTATTGATTATGTTCAATGAAATGTGTTTGAAAGTTCATGGATGAGAAAAAAGAAGTGTCGAATTCAATATCCACCGCTTCAAAGGAACTCTTCAAATGTAAAAGGCGCGTTTTGTATAACTTCCTGTTTTTATTTCTCTTCGAGTCACACGACAACTGACGAACTGTCTTTAATGATTTTTCATCAGAACAAAGTCAGAGGTAAAATGAAACAAAAAGACGCTTGGATTTTATAATTTATTATCTATATATATCACATGAAATTCATACACCAGCGAATATAAACATGAAGTGCCTTAATAAGGCTGTCTGAATTGGAACAGTGAAGTGGATAAATTTGAAGTCAGCTGACTATGACGAAGTATACTCACCACCATGTTGCAGTGTTCCTGCTTACATTTTTCAGGTACAGTTAACTTTTTTATCTGTAAAAAATCTATACAACATATATTTTGTATGAAGGATATAATGGACTTAATGACTCGCGTGTTTATAATATGTGGTTTGGGCAAGCAAGTTTTTCAATAACCCTACAGTTTGCGAGGTTGATCCATAGTATGACAGGACTCTATCAGGTCAGGATCAACGGCCCAAAATGGGATCTTAATTTTCTGTGCAAAAATTAATATTTCTCATTTAGCTAAAATATTATAAATATGCATCATAATCATAATAATGCTTAAAAAAGCAATAACATTTGGTTTATATTTTTCTGCATGCAGATAATCCCTCTGAAAATCCTTACCTACTTTGGGATCATTTACATTCACATGGTTATAGAAAAACTTACTTGCCAAAAGTTATTGCATTCAGTTTATAGGGATGTGTCAATTTACCGGTATACAAGTAGATCATGATTTTTTTCATTGCATGATAAGTATTGTGATATAGGGCTGGGACGATACAACTTTTTCTACATCAATATGTATCACGATATTTGAGCCACGATACGATATGTATCACGATATGTTGAATTGGTTATAAAATGTCTTTTTTGTATTGAAATGAACAAAACATTTCTTCACATATAAGAATAATTTATTGAAAGAAGTTGTACCTGTTGTAAAATAAAATAATTTTACACAAGTGGTGTTAATTATTATGTATTTAATATTTATATTAATATTTAGCATATCTTGTTATATATTTAACCCAAAATGTGAAGTAAACAAAGAAAAACATAAGTCAGAATTGTTTGCAATATTTCGATATTTCTTCATACGTATCGATATGCGCATCATCCTCACATTGAATCGATATTATCGATTTCTCGATATATCGTCCCAGCCTTATTGTGATAGGGATTCTAAAACACTGTATGTAAAATACCAGTATTTAGTATTTATTTTTAATAATCGGCTTTACCTTGGTGAATATTGATATTGTTTTGGTGAATATCAAACCTTTTTCACCTCCAAAAGCGTCCACAATAGTATAATAATATCTGTTGCATTTCCATAACTTAAGGGAATCTAAAAAGGCATTGCCAAAGAAATTTTCAATAAAAGGCTTTCATAATTGCATGTTTCATGAGAATTAAGACTCCCATGAATTTTCTTCAAGTACTAGGTCCTGGATGTCTTTTTCTCTGTTATCAGTGTTCAGATTAAAGAAGATATTGGGATAAGCTCTGGGAAAAATGGAAAATTGTCTGATCAATGATTATGCAGATTTTGTGTTTTCTAGATTTGTCTTCATTACTTATCGGTAGATTTTTTTTAACAAATATTCAGTTATAGAAGTTTTAATCTATGTTTACATTATTTCAGCTATGCATTCTTTCATGCTACAAGGAAAACATTCAGCAACGTCAAATCTACAATCTCCGATGAATGGAGCCCATCATACCACAACAACACTGTTAACTTCACCAAACCTGATAGGGTTGGTAGTATACTTTGTACTTGTATTTTAATACATATGTAAGTGTTGATCATGGTCAGGTTGCAGAGAGTTTATTTTGTGAACAAAATCAATAGTATCAGTGTTTGAAACTCACCACAAAATTAGCCAGGCATGCAGGGCTGACTGCTAGTAAAAAGTTGTCAGCCCTGTCAAAGATAGAATAGCCCGAGAAAATAATTGCCTTTTATAAATTTGTTTGTAACGATTATGTGACTGGAACCAGGTCACCATAACTTCGAACCAGAATCTATAGACTGATGATTTCTTCCTCTTGGCTTGTTACACTTTGCTACCGATACTATTAGTTGATATGAAAGAGATTTATCAAATATATGAATTTTAATTATTGAAAATTTTAACACATCCAGCCTGGCATCAATACATGCAAATTTGTTCACCCGCTGCAAAATTTGTGCAAAATCTCGGGCAGTCAGGTGCACGGTTATTTCAAACACTGATAGTATAATTATATGAAGTTAGATAATATGGGTATTTTTTCCATTAAAGATCTGGAACACCCGTCATTTGTTTGACACAAGAAAAGATGCTGAACCATACCTAGGAATTCTGGATGCTGTTTTCATGATTTCATATGCTGTGGTAATTTTTATACAATGTTATTTTCGTAGACTTTAAGTGTCCAATTTGTCACTACCATTTTTGGAAGCCATCTATATTAAGTGAATTATTAAATTTTATAATTTTAACTATATTTTATTGGTTTTATGAAAGTACTGAGGCTGTATTATATTTAGCTTGTATGAAATTGATTTTTCAACAACTTAATATAAATCTGATTTAGTTCATTCCTAAATGTGCTAAATATGAATATATCTAATTTATACAAGACATTTAGTGATGTACAAAACATTTCGTCTTACTGTAGACATTGAATATGGTATGTTTGAAAATGTATCCCCTGTTATTATAATGTCTTTGTAGGGTCTCTACATAAGTGGCATGATTGGAGATAGGTAAGTCTTGATCATTTTGATGCAACAATGAATTATAGTTGGCAATATAAACATGAACAGAAAACCCCATGACTGTCTAGATTTGTATGGATATGTACATTTAAAACTGGAATGTCAAGGCCACATAAAATTAATTTCCTGGTTCTCAAGCCAATTTTCTCCAAAACAGATTCTTCCTTCGTAATTTCAAATTTATTGAATTAAAATTGATGCAACTTTGATCAATTTTTAGATTCAACATGCGGTTGGTGCTATCTTTTGGAATGTGTTCATCAGCAGTTACGGTAAGATTTACAGTCATTTTTTCAGTACACATTACAATTTTAATTTTGGTGGTCAAAATGCCATAGATTTATTTAAGATTTATTTTAAGATTTTGTAAAGCTAAATGTTAAAAATGCAGAATGAATTGTACAAAACTTCTAAAATTGAAAATAATAAACTGATAATTAAGCTGATTGAATAATTTTTTATTTTAGGGCATTTTGCAAACAAATTACATGTATGTGCATATAATGACAATGAGCTTTGAGCTCCTCACCAAATTGTGCCCACAGGGCATAATTAAATATTTTAAAAATGCAAATGAATACACCTTTTAAAATCTTTATTCTGGAGCATCCATGAGACAAAGTATCCCTCTTTCTGACTGAGATTCACACACTTGCCTTTCTGATGTTCTTTCTTACAGATATTTTTAGATATTCTATACAATGGCATTAAGCATTTTATGATCTTTGATAAATTTTGTACGTTACACTGTAAATGTAAAATGCTCTTATCTTTAAGGTGTTCCTCTTTGGAGTGGTATTTGAATGGGTACACTTCTACAACAAATATGTCTATGTCATTGTCTGGATCCTGAATGGGCTCCTACAGTCTATGGGATGGCCAACGGTTGTAGCCATTATGGGAAACTGGTTTGGAAGATATAGGTTTATCACTTTTTATTTTTGATGTCATGTCAGGTTAATATTTTTTTATTAATATTTCATAAGAAATTTGAAATAATGTCCACATACTTTTAACAGGGACAGGTATGAGAAATTGAAACCTCTTTTTGTCCTTTAAGATATACATGTAGGTTTGTTAAGTTTTTTTTTGTTCTTGTTTTTCAAGTCATGTTTTTTATTACCATAATATTTCATCATTGCATAAATTTGAAATTATTTGCAAAATCCTTTAGAGACATGTACATATAGGAACAGAGCCTCCCGCTCAATAAAATGGAAATTTTTCTGGTATATATACATGTACTTTCTACTAGAAGATGCTAATACAAAAGAAATTCAAGTAAAAGTGGTACACCACAAAGTACAGAATATGAGACAAATTCTTTAGAGAATTTTTTTTATCATGATAAAGAAACATAATGATTTATCAATTTTAAGTTTATCTATTTTACATGTAGTAGTGGGTCATAGAGTTGCTTATCCGATATCCTATTTTAATGGCAGCAGACTCATTTCCTGTGTCTTCTGCAGGTGCTATATTCTACAATAAGATATCAATTCACCTGTAAAGTTTTTTCTGAATTTCAGTCGTGGTCTGGTGCTTGGTCTGTGGAGTGCCTGTGCGTCTGTTGGTAATATCATTGGTGCTTTTCTGGTGTCTGGAGTACTAGATTTTGGATATGATGTAAGCTACAGTTTCTCTGCATTGAATTGTTGGCCTCAAATCAATTTGTGAATAAGTTAAAAAGAAATAACTTGCATGTATGTAAGTGTAATTTAAAATGCATATACCTCGTAACTGATTAGTGTAATGATAAATTAGTGCATTTTAGGCAAAGCCTCTAAATGTATTTGATACATATATGATCATATAGATTACCAGACAAAAGGCACTGAAAAAGGTGCTTATTATAAATACATGTATGATTACCACTAAAATTAGTACATTTTCAGCATTACAATTGCTATGAAACTGCTGATTAAGTATACAACATAAATAATATCATTCCACCATTTTGAATCTGACCTTGACCTATTACAGTACGCTTTTCTGGTGACATCCTCTATTCTCTTTGCTGGGGGAGTGGTCAATTTTTTTGGTCTTGTCAGCACTCCTAAGGAAGTAGGTAAGTACATTTTCACTTTGAATCCCCCATAGTTTACTGATGGGTGATTATAATCAGTCTCTCTGACCTATCAGAGGAATAGGGCATTTCAAAGAAACATTTTTTATTTTTTTTTTATCAGACTATTTTCATTTTCAGTATCTTTATTATTAAGCGAAAGGTAGAATAATTGTGTATTTCTGTAAATTTTGAATACTTTATCACACACTAAATTTAGCAGACCTCCAAAATAAAGAAAAAAATTATTTTATCACCATCAACGCTATATGTACAGTGGATGAAAAAAAAGTAAATGAATGTCCATACTTCTATATTTACTTTTTCAGGACTTTCGCTCCCAGATGAAGATGCTGCTGTTCATCCTAAAGAGTACACAGTCCGCGTTAATGGAACAGATGATGATGGTAAATATTACTTCTAACATTAAATATAAAATCAGTTTTGCTGCCAGTCAGTGGTCTTTGGCAAATGGCTTCATTGAGACAACCCAGTCAGTGGAATTAAGCAAATTAATGGCTAGATTGAGACAACTCATAAATGAAAACTAAGTTTGTAATTTCAACAATGGAGAGTCAGTATTCAATGCCATTTGCCAAAACATTTGATCAAAGCTGAGATGTAGAAATGCATGTTTATCAGCTGGCAATTTTTTGGCATTTTTTAAATCTCAACCTAAAGATAAGGCTTTTTATACTCTTATACCACCCGCTTGAAAAGTGGGGGGTTTATAGTGATGGGGATGTCCGTACATCCTTCTGTCTGGACTTTCCTTACCCATAGGGATAGCCAATCCACATCTGCAACACCTCTTACATCAATGAAACTTTTTACAAAGTCTTCATCAAATAGTGCCATTGTGCATCTCCGATTGTATGTTGGATTGGACAGATATTCAGGGCTTCCCATAGCTAAACCTGAACTTTGCCATTCTAGGTACACTTGGGGGTAGCCGTTACTTATCCTCCACTCCTTTAACAACGTTGAATGCAATTTGTTTAAGTTTTGCAGAATCTTCATTACGTAGTGCTATTTTGCAACTCCTATTTTATTTCTATTGGAAAGATATTTGGGGTTTCCCATAGCAAATTATAGACTTTGCTATTACACTCGATAAAGGGATACCCGTTTTTGTGAAAGCAACTACCCCTAGACCCTTGAATGAAATTAAATGGAACTTTTGAAGAATCACATTTACATATTGCTAAGAAATGCACTTTGCCGTTATACTCATATGGGAGTGGGGGTGTCACTTTGTTAGCTCACTGCTCACAGTACCTCTAGTTTACAAAGAAAAAGGTTTACCTAGGGGTTTTTTTGGCCTTGTTAATTGGTATAATTATGATGAATGCATTTAATCACAGAAAATTGCTCTTTAACTGCAGACAAATATCACATGCATTTGCCTGACTGTGCTATCAAAGATGTCAAACACAGTGCTTTGATACTTACATAATGATCTGTCACTAGTGCTGCAGGATGTTTTTCTCAAGTGCCTGAATGGCAAACCAAAGCATTTAATATTTGTATAAAGTTTTAAAAAAGAGATCTTTATCTCTGTTTTTATTCTTATTTGTTGATGCTTGATTCTTTGAAATTCAATAAAAGTTAAATTTTATTGTATATTTCCATGCCTGCAAATCCATTTCAATGTGCATATTGAATTTCCATTGTTCTTTTAGTTTCCAACTTCAACAATTTTTTCTTCAGCACAATTGTACAAAGTAAATTTTTTGCCTTCATGTATTGTTTTATTGCTACATTTTCATGATGCAATATGCACGTGACATTGCTATGCTACAATGGAAACTTTGAACACTATTTTCAGAAACCATTAATATGCCCCATGTATTATACAAACAAGGTATAGTGCACATTCACACATAGCAATAACATTGATGTGAGCATGCTGAAATGTTTGAACTTTGAAATCCTCAAAAGTAAAACACAAGAGTTGCTTCATTCATTTGCTTACCTTGGTTTAAAAAAAAAAGAAGCTGGAAGCGTCTTTGCACATGACATTTTGAATATCATTTAAATTCATAAAGTTCTTAGTTTCTGTAAATTGGGCATCTAGGAAATATATTCTTCTGTTGTTATCTAATTTTTAATTAGCTCTACTGGTCAGAGACCAGAAGAGCTGATGTATCAATATTTACATTTGTAAATGTTTTCCCTTAAATAACATTATTTGAGCAAGGCGTGTTTAAGTCTATGTATAAATAGGATCGCCACCTGACCATAAATTCATTGTTTAGTCATAAGTGGTCGACGTAATTTCATTGTGACGTCGTAAGTGATCGATGTGTTCAACACGTTCAATTTATACTGTTGAGGTTTGAAAAATTAAATCATATTTCATGATTTCAAAACTATAGTACCCAAATATTTGTGAAAAAAAAAAAAAAAAAAAAAAAAATCAGTCACAAATGTAAATATGAGTAATAAGTTAATAACGCCAGGTCCTGTTTGTTTGATTAGAAAACTGCTTTATTGACCCTCATTTCTGCACAGCAAATTTAACTTGTTCTTTCTTTGCAGTAATATTCTGCAAATGCACATTTCATGCATGCTAATTGTAATGCAAATTGCTTTTATTTTGTTACTTAACATGAATTAAAAAAATATTTGGTTTGATGAAGGGTGAATTATTAATTTATTACTGTGTTCAAACACTGATGTCAATGTTGTATGGATTGTGGGAAAATCTAAGATCTTTTTGTCAAATTTAGAGAAGTACATCATAAATTTTCAATGGACTATCATTATTCCATTTATTTTAGCAGCTATCTGGAGATTCGTTAAATTTTTTTTCTAATTAATTAAGATTTTTAACTCTTTCAAATGATCTTTGGCTTAAAAAAAACTTGATCAGTTGCAACATAATCATGATAATACTCATACATGTAATAATTTTATTACAATGTACATAAATCCAGTATTTGAAAGTGATATCTTACACTGGGCATGTTGGGAGGAAATAAAAAAAAAAAATCAGACTAGGTCATGTAGTCATGAAATATCATTGAAATTTTTTAATATATATAACTAGCTTAATTACCCTCCAGAATTTAGATATAGTCATACATGTAGTATGTTATGTCCTTACCCAATGGGTTATAAACATCAGATCCAATGTATTGTTATTTGAAAGCACATGAGAGGAAAAAAATATATAATCTTGATTACATCCATGTTACATGAAATCTAGGAATCAGTGCACTGTAACTTATACTAAATATCTATTCAAATTCTAAGCAGTATTGATTTATAAACTATCATTTATTAGAACATCTGGTTGAAGATGATGACACACCGAGTCATGGGGCCAACGACAATGGAGACAGTGAGGAAGATGGTATGTAACATAAAATATGTCATTTGTAAGATGTTAATTTATGTTTATAATGAATGAAGTCATTCAGAATAATTGACATAATAATTGCATATGTTGTGCTTTTGCATTTTGTGCATGGTGCAATTGACACATTATAATACCGCTTTAGCATCACATTTAGATAAATAATTTAGATAGACATGTAGCAGGATATGTGATTTGGAATTAAATTTGCATTGTTAAGTGATATTTTTTAATCAGGATAAAAAACAATATGTTCTAACCCTCCCCCTCCCTTTCAGAAAGTCGATTTGTCATTTTTTTGCCCCAGTAATTGAAGGTTCAGGGGCATATACATGTAGTTTTTGGTCGCTTTGTCTACAAAGACTTTAACCTTAGCCCTAACTTTTGAATGGTTGGGGTTAGTGCTTTAATATTTCATATATGTATTCTTTGTGACAAGACCATTTCATACCTGTCAACATGGCCAAAAATTTTTGGGGGAGAAAACGCGTGACGACCTTTTACAAATACAAAAAGTCAAGCATTTCACTGTATTATAAAACAAAAATAAACAACTTACAAGATAAAACTTTTTTATTAATATTATTATTATCATTTATTCATAAAATTTACTTTTTATTCATACATTGTTTAGAAACTTGTACAATGTGATTTTTGAAATTATAAAAATACATGTTCTTCAATGTATATTCTGCCTGTCCATAAGAGTGTCATTTGAATAATATTCATGGCAAATGTCAAAGTTTAACTTGACAATTAGAAAAATTAATAAGGTTCTGCAGACAGTCTGAGTTTCCAGCTTTTAATAGATAGATGAATGGATTTTTCTCACTAAGTCTAAGGAGCAAGAGTTGTGTCCTTGATTTAAGGATCTGAAATTGAAATAATTGTCAAAACTTAATGCTTAAATTCTTTAAAATAATGTGTAATCTAGTATAAATGAAATACATGGATTCTCAGACCCTGTGTTTTTTCTTTTAATCTCATAACATATATAAGAATTTTTAAATCTAATGCTTTATTGTAGTAATGTTCTAATATGCTAATTCTATATTTTTATTTAGAAATTTATTACCCTGTTTAGCTATGTAAATTCAAAGAAGTCTTCTAAAGGCACTGTCATGCTGCTCTGTAGTTTCAGGGGCTTTTATATGCTGATGTTGATGCAGGATTTACTAAGACATTGAATCTCAAAATCTGTGGGGAACTCTTCAGACTCTTCATTATTAGCTTCCATGAAATTGTTCCCCTCTCCTCGTTAAATTAATAATAGAGTACTGTAGTTATATCTTTCCTGATCACTGTATTGTTTATGGAGGAATTGAAATGTCTTGAGTACTTGTAAACTTATTTGCAGCAAAGTATCAAGTACATGTATCCATATCGTTATTTACCGTCATTTTTTGCAAAATTTTTACATCTGGCATATCTGTCTTTGATAATATACACTTTTAATGAGAATAAAGAGCAATTACAACTCCAATTACATCTGGTATAACAGTTGACACCTTGTTGATTACCTGTTATCAGTGGCAATAAACAGATTAGCTACCGATAAACACTGCATGACCTCCATTTTTGTGTTGACATGTCGGTATTTTACGAACCCAAGTAGGTAAAAAATCCGGATTTTTTCAAAATCGGTAGAAACGTCAGTCTAAAAAAAATTCGGTAGACAATCGGTAGGGATGGTTAAAAATCGGTAGACTCCCGAAAAATTCGGGAGAGTTGACAGGTATGCCATTTTTTTGGTATGAAAATGTTTTATGTTATGACCTTGACCTTGTAGATTGACCCACTTTTAAGAACTTTAATCAAACTTTAACCTTGTCCGTAACTTTTGAACTGTTACTTTCATATTTCATATGACAAGACCTTTTTTTTGGCTACCATGCCAATATTTTTTACCTCCTGACCTTGCCCTTGACCTACTTTTGAAAAACTTTCACCTTGGCCATAACTTCTGAACAGTTGGTGCTAGGGCTTTCATATTTCAGATGTTTATTCCTTGTTAAAAGACTACATTTTTTTTTACCTCTGATCTTGACCTTGGAACTTGACCTACTTTTGAAAAACTTTAACCTTGATTATAACTCCTGAGTGTTTGGGCTTTCGTATTTCACCTGTGTATATTCATTGTGACAAGATCCTTCTTTTGGACTAACATTTTTTATGTCATGATCTTGACCTTGAAGTTTGACCAACTTTTGAAAGATTTTAACCTTAATAATTAGCTGCTGTACAGGGGCATCTGTGTTTCGTAAAGACATCTTGTTTCATTCACAACTTTTATTTTGGCTAAAACTTTGGGGCCACTCAAGGCATAATTGACATGTACAAGACCTTGTGTCTGTACAGCACAGGTTCATTGTATAAATTTCTGACTGGGATTTGGAACCTCTCTGCACATTAATTTTAAAAATCTGCATTGAACATTAGTGCAGTGATGTTATTGTGTTTATAGTATATAGTAATCACTCTGACAGGGTTGGTCGGGAAATACCAGTGGTGGGAATTACCAGTGGTAAATACCGGTATTTCCCGGGAAATACTACAAATTTTCTCTAAACTGGGAAATATTGGGAAATACTGGCAAATACAAACTTAAGTTGAAGTTTTTTATTTCTGTAATTCATTCAATCTTATACAATATTCAAAAATAAAATAAATATATAAACAGAAGATGAATAATATTGAATATGAATGTATCACTACTCTAAGTCCCATACCCATAGGCATTCTGAAACATTTCCCTAGCTGTGTAAAACTGAAGTTTTTCAATTCAAGTTTCTTTTCAGTTTTGTAAAATTAGTAAGACAAGTTTATTAATTATAAATCCAAGAACAAAACAAACTTGTTTTAATCCTTCTATTAACACTGTAGTTATTACAAACAATCATGTTGTTTTAACAAATTGCTGTGGACAGTTTTGTGCTCCTGTTTTGAGATATAATTACCTTGAGTAGAACTGAAAAGCCTCTTCTAGGTTTGATATTTAGCTGCCATACATTTAAGAATTCTCTTAGATCCTTCTTTAGTTACATAAAAAAACCCAATTGGGATCATGGGTTCATTTCATGGACCTTTATAGACTAAATCAGACTCAAGCATGACACTCATGACTGGTATACAAATATTCTGTGTTACATGTATGATTATATAAAATGAATTACTTGGAAACCAGAATTTTTCAAATCAGGGACAGTGATACCTGAGGTAGATATCTTACCAATAAGGTGTACTAATGTCAATATGAATGAAATATGTACTAATTTCTTATTTCCCAGTATTTCCCGGGAAATACCAGTAATTCCCGGTAATTACCAGTATTTCCCACCGTCCTGGGAAATATGAGTATTTCCCATTTTTTTGCCAACCCTGCACTCTGATGCAAGAGGCATATATAAGAAAGTTGGTTTTAAGTCAAAATGCATTTTTTGCAATTCAGACACAGAATTTTCTTCTCAAGGTATGGAACTTACAAACATAGTATCAGGTGATTGATCAGAATATTTTATCTACAAAATGCATGATCATCATAGTAGTTATACAACATATTGCTTATTTTACTTAGATTTCCTTTTTTTGAATTCTTTTTTTTTTTTTTTTTTTTTTTTTGCTACTTCTTCACAACTTTAATACAAATTAGAGTTTGCATGTCTATGATGTTTTAATGTTATTAACAACTGTGTACATGGAACACCACAGAAAACTTGATCCTTTATGGTTGCTTGCCTTGCTCACTTGCACTCTGAATTTTGTTTGAATTATATACAGATTCCAGATTTTGTGTGTATACATGTAGCATGAGTTGGTTAGTAGTCTAAAATAAATACTAAATATTTATTTCTACATGCTATGCAGTTGTCATTTTTCAGTCAACATAGCTTGTACAGTGTTATCATGATGTATATTGATCATACCTGAGAATTACTTTCATTGAAGTTTAGTTGTATAAATTATGTATACATATGAACATGCTAGACAAAGGAAATAAATAAAGAACATAGTATTAAAATTTTTGAAACTCAACACTGATCACATATTCTACAATATATTAATTTCCAAAAGAAATTTTATTGTAAATCAGCAGGTAAATACCTAATTTGTAAATTCCTCAATAGAATATGTCTAGTGCTAAATTTTAATGCTTTTAAGACAAAAATTATTCCAATAAACTATATCTACATGTATTAGAGAACATTTTCTGTATAAAACTTTTTTGTATCCCCAGAGAATAAGATACATGTCATCTGGCCAGTACTAATTATACTGATTTTGATTTCCCAGCTCCTCTCCTGAACTCCCCCCACAAACAGAGTGGTGCTTCCAGCTCAGACAACAGACCAGCAGCCATTGGTTTCTGTAGTGCCCTATGTCTACCAGGTGTAGCATTGGTAAGTTCCCCTGTTTAATCATGACATTCTTATTGAAGAGTTACACATCAAGTTTGAGTTTCTTTCTGGTTGGATTTTCCCACAGATACATGTACATCATTACGTTGTTCATGAATTGAAACTTTAAACTACAATTTTCGTAAATTGATACGTAAATTACATCTCTCATGAATTGATATGTAGACTGAACTCTGAAATATTTTTGACCTTGCTTATCATGGTTATAACAGTAAAACTTGGTTACAGCAAACACTCTTATAATGAATTTAGGCTTATAGCAAAGTAATTTTCACTTCCTGTGGTTTTAAAACATAAACTTAATGGATATATCAAATTATGTTTATAAAGAATTAAAATTCATCATCCCTGGCACTTTGCTTTTAGTACATGGAAGTAATTGAGATGCACCAATCTGAAAATATCTAAAGATCCCAGTTTCTCACTCTTTAGACACTAACCAGTGGTACAGCTAGATTGAAAATAGCATTGTGACAAGCTCTCATTGTCCAAACAATGTATTTTTACTGATTATACAAGTACATTGTATTTTAATGTAAAGTTTGTAGTTTGATTCCTATTACGATCTGTAAATTCATTAGATTATATTTTTTCAGTATGCCTTAGCCTATGCGTGTTTGAAGCTAGTCAACTATTCCTTTTTCTTCTGGCTGCCATACTACCTCCACAATAAGTACAGATGGAAAGAAACCGTAGCTGATGATATATCTATCTGGTATGATGTGGGAGGAATCATTGGTAAGTAGCCTGTGTCTCTTAACCCCTCCTCCTCCCCCCCCCCCCTTTCCCCTTAAAAAGGATTTTTTTTTAAATGCTATGATGAAAAACAAATATATGTATATAAACATGATATAATTAACATTATAGGGGGAAAAAGGAATGTCAAATGAGTCTTCAGCTAAGGATGTGGATGTTTTCTTTATTACACTTATTTATCACTGGAATTGACTGCTATGCAAACATGTTCTATGTTGCAACTTATTAAATGGTATTACTGTATACAGGGAAATTTTCGCCTCAGTTTTTTTTTCACCCCTTTCTTCCTACTAGACAGAAGTGGGAGAATTTAAGACGGTGCGAATTCATAGGAGACAGTATTACTTCTTAAACATAACTGTGACTGGGCGAATTTAAAACGGTGCAAAATTGTTTCCAAGTGTAAAAGGGCAAAAATAACATGGGGCAAAAATAACCCTGTATACAGTTCATCATGTAATGAAATATAATGTCATGCTTTTTCCAAATTCCAATGAAACAACCAGTCTTTGATTGTAAAAACTTGATTTTTCAGGTGGGACAATATTTGGATTCATATCTGTAAGTAGCTTTTTTTAATGGACAGAGAATGTTTTATATTAGATGAAATTCGTGCCTAAGTAAATAGAATTAACAAATTCCATTTAAACCAGTTTCTGAGAAAGACTTTTTGTGATACATATTTGATTATAATTTCCAATCTCAGAAAAAATCTTAAGGATGGATTCTTCTCATATTTCTTATAATGGCAGAATCTTGATTTTCTGAATACTCAATATTCAGACTGTTTACACTATTTTAACATCCAAAAACTTTGGTGTCATCGGCCTTGATTTTCAGTCAAGGTCATTTGAAAGTTAGTCCTAAAAATAGTACCTTTACACAGAGAAGTTTTGAAATTTATGCATATAAATAAATTTTGCTGACTGAAAAATATCTTTCACCATAAAATTAAAGTTGTTACTTATTGTTGATGCCTAATTCATATGAAATGAGCTGGTGAAAAGATAACATGAAATCCTTTATATTCAATAAATACATTTAATCCGAATTTCCTCGATATTTTTTCAAAATTCTCAGTTTACATGAATTCACATGAAATTTCATCTCAATTTTTACAATTGACCATATAATGTCAAATATTTAGATTTTTGTCTGATAAATATTCAAAGGTTCAAGATTAATTTACAAGGTAAAAAAGATATAGTAATCAGGCAAATTATTGAAAAAAATTAGCCCGAATTTGCTCTATACTTTCTGAAATCTTCAATTTACAGAGTGTTTTAAATGTCCATAAGAAAGATTTTTAATCCCCAAAAATATATCAATTTGGTGTAATTGTGACATAAATACATTCATTTCTACCAGTTATACATTCTATTTTTATGGTATTTTACACTAATGATATTCAAAATATTCATTTCGAATTTCCTCTGTCATTTTATTCTTATGAATGTTATGTTTGACAATTTTATAAAATACATCAATTTTCTAGTGGCAATTACAGAAAAATTATCGCATACATTCTTCACATGCACAGGACTAATTCAAAGCAACTTCACCTTCAATATAACTAGGAATAAATAATAAACCTTCCAAAAAGTTATGAGAAAAATCATACATAAAATTTTCATAGACTAGAAAAGATTTCAATACATTATTTATGACATAAACATGAAATCAATATACATGTATAGTGAACATACCATTCAATGCTTAATATATGAATATCAGAGGGACTAATATATATGCCTATACATATATATGTAGTTATATTCATATAGGTCCCTGGTATTATGTTATTATTGGATATTTTACATTTGTAAACTGAGTTTTGAAAACAACAAGCAAATTCAAAAAATGGTGGTCCCCCGCTTTTGATGTCTTAGTGGATGGGATGCCATTATTTATGGCATATTGTAATTGTCTTGTTTGTTTGTCCTGTCTTATCTGTGCATCATCAAAAAGACATAAATTATTGAATTAATAACAGTTATGGCAAAGACTATAGCTTCTCAAAACTACAACAAACTTCAAAATCAAGGTCATGAGGTCAAATATCATAATAAAATCCAAAAGATCTTCTCACAAGTGATGCACATGTAAAAAAAAATATCAGAAACCAGAGTATACAATCAGAAAGGTCTTGAAACAGGTAATGCACATGTCAGATGTAAATACCATATCTTCTGTCAATCAAACGTTATTAGCAATGATAAACTTTAAAAATTAGGTCAAACTTCAAGGTCATGGGATTAAAAATCATAGTACATTTGGAAATGCTTGTCACGGGTAAAGCACTTGTCAAATATGAATGCCCTATCTTTGCTCCTTCAAAAGTTAGCAAACTGATGAAATGTTTGAATATTAGGTCAAACTGGAAGGTCAAGGTCACGGAGTCAAATATAATAGCATATTCCGAAACATTTTGACACAGGTAACGCACTTGTCAAATATGAATACCATATCATATGTCATTCAAAAGTAATCACCAAATACAAAATTTTTGAAATTTAGGTCAAACATGAAGGGTCGCCCGCGTGGCGCAGTGGTTAGAGCGTCTGCTCTGCAGTCGCGAAGTAAGGAGTTGATCCTTACGTCGCGGGTTCGAATCCCACTGTGGGACGTGGAGACCGGTCCTTCGGATGAGACCGTATAAACCGAGGTCCCGTGTCGCAGTAGGTGCTGGCACGAAAAAAATCCCTCACTTCTCAATGGCCATAAGTGCCGAGCATAGGACAAAATTTGCAGCTCTCCACCGGCAAGTGGTGGCGTCTCCATATGAGTGAAAAATTCTTGAGAGGGACGTTAAACAACATACAAGCAAACAAACAAACATGAAGGTCAAGGTAAGGGGGTAAAAAATTAAAGCATGCTCCGAAACACTTTCTCACTACTAATGCACAGGTCAACTGTGAAAGCCCTAACCATTCTAAATCAAAAGTTATAAGCAAAGATAAAAATTTTGAAAAGTAGGTCAAACTTCAAGGTAATGGTCATGGGGTCAAAAATCATAGTACATTTGGAAAGGTATTCTTACAGGTAATGTTCATATTTAATACGAGAGCCCTATCTTTTCTCATTTAAATTTAATGACCAATTTAAAGAAATGTTAATTTTTTGAAAAGTAGGTCAAACTTCAAGATCAAGGTCACAGGGTCAAAAGTCATAGTATAATTTCGAAAGGATTTGTCACAGGTAATGAACAGGCATAATATGAAAGTCCTATCTTTTCTCATTCAAAAGTAATGACCAATTTAAGGTAATGTTAATTTTTTTGAAAAGTAGGTCAAACTTCAGGGCCAAGGCCACGGGATCAAAATTTACAGTATATTTGGAAAGGTCTTGTTACAGGTAATATACATGTGAAATACAAAAGCCCAATCTCTTCTCACTCAAAAGTTATGGCCAAGGTTAAAGTTTTTGTGACAGACAGACCGACAGACGAGTGAGATTTAATGTCCCCTCTCTTTCGCGAAAGCGAGAGACAATAAATACCTACACACATTTATAAGTATATAGTTTGTTCAGCACCAATAAATATAACTCCTCAATGTGATCATATATTGCGTAAAATTTGTGGAGTTTTAAGATAACAAAAAATCCATCTATGACAATCAAATGCCCTTTGACATCTTTGCCTGAATAAGACATCCTTGAACTTTGTAACAATAATATGCATGCAGCTATCAAACTTAATTTCACATTTAGATGCAAAATACTTATTCAAGGATGAATTTCTTTTTGAGAATTTGTAGCACAAACATTTATTGATCAGTGTCAATAACTTGTATTGAAATTGAATTAAAAATTACCTCTTGAGGGTTTCTACTGCAAGTACATGTATATGTAGTTCATTTGTAAAAATCTAAATTTTAACCCGGCCGCTACCACCAATTTTGTTCAGCATGCTCTTGCTTAAAATCACCCTTTAACTAAATGATCCAAAGCAGGCACATTTTTTGGTATTCCAGAACTGTATTTTAAGATTTTAACTGTATTTGAAAATGTAAAGCAACTGAATACATAGAGCTAGGTATATACCATTTACAAGTTGTTGTGGTGCCAGTACATATAAATCTTCACATTGTAATCTAATGAAAGATAATGCTTGAAAAATTCACTCTGGGAGTAAGATTTCAAATCTGAATCAAAGATTTTGTAAAGTAATCACATTCTACAAAGCATGCACTGTATCGGGTACTTGGGAATCAAATAATTAAACATTATATATTTATAAATAAAACTATTTTTGACTGAAAGTTTCTAAAAAAAAATCAAGAATGGAATCATGCAACAAGCAGCAGTGACATGCATTGACTTCCACATTTCTACAAAAACATTTCTTTGATCAGATAAATATGTAATTCCTGCTTCTGACATGATATATTCTGAGAAAATCTCTTTTCCACAGACAGCCATCATTCATTTGATGTGAGAATTTCTTGCTGAACATGTGTCCACCTGGTGAAAGTCCAAATTTTTTGTTGATCTGTAATTTAAAAAAAAGTAATATATTTTACATAGCAGCACAGATGCTGCATTATATGATAGTTAGATAAAGTTGTGTCCATATTTCTTATACATGTACCTCAATAGTCCATCTGCCAGCACTCCTTGCTCAATCATCCTGCATTCTGACCTCCAGTCTTTTTTCTAGTCTAGGGTAAAGTAGGGTTGTTTTTCTCCTAAGAATTAAACATGAACATCCCTTAGACTATTTTTTTAAATTCATGGAAATTGATTATAAGATTAAACAACTTATCTAATCTTTATTTCATTTATTGATTTAAATGAATGAAAATATTTTAATAGATTCTACCACATGCAATATGTCTTATATTATAGTGTATTGGATATAAATTTATCCTAAAAGTACAGAAAAGTAAAAAAAAAAAATAATATAAATAGTTTTTTAACAATAATGTTTCATTTTGCTCTATTTATTAGACAATTGTGTGTTTCAATATTATGGATATTTCCACGTACAATATCAAGTTATTTTTCCGTTTGATTTGTACCCAAGCGGAACACCTTACTTTTCTAATAACTTGATGATTGTTCTGTCTTGAACAAAGTAGGCTAATTAAAAATATAAAATTTGTTGTAATCATATACAAAAAATGCTATTTTTGTGAATTATTATTCCTAAACCTGACGAACACACGAAATATATCCTCTTCAAATGTTGACAAGTCGCGGGAATAAGCAGACGAAATATTGATAACAGGACTTTAATTTCCGTGCGAATTCCCATAAATCAATACAAACCAGCATGTAATTGAATTCAATTTCAAAATTATAAAAATCTTCAGACATATATAACTAACTTACATGCTCACTGCACGACATGACATCAGACGAGGCAACGTGGATCTGCAATCTTGCACATGTTTGTGACCTTCAAGTTCAAGCTTCCCTTTTGGCTGATTGGAATTTCCCGGGCATAAACAATTATGAATTAATTATTCATAACTGTCCCTGGGCTTCTGCAATGCTTCGATAATGTTCACAGTTTGTAGATTTTACAAAACAACCCTCTCGGGGTTTTCTACGGAAAATGATCTGGACATGTTGACATTCGCTAGGCCTACCGAACTGCGAATATTATGGCGATTGTCGCAAATCAAAGAAAATATTACGATAAATTTATTAATTTCAAAAGAAATAGATTCAACATTACTTAAGCTGACAAATTTACTAATAGTTTTTCCTTCAGTATAATTAAATATGAATTTTTGCATTTTACGACTTGCATCATTTATGGAGACCCATTGACGACGTAAAATGCTGACAAGAATCCATCCTTAAAATGTCAGTAAATTTTCTTAATCTTTTTTTTTTTTTTGAACTGCAATAAATATTGTGTTTTTGCATGATAAATTCCAGAAAGCATGGAGATGCACTGTTTGGGAAGACCTAGTTCCTCTTTTTTGTAAGACTAACAATTGAAATTAATTTCTGTTTGTAGGACAGATTCCAGCATCGTAGTATAATAGTGATACCAATGTTGATCCTGGGCATTCCAGCATTGTTTATTTATAGTATGTATTACATGTATGTACATGATGTTATATATGTTATTTATTAAACAAATCTTATTAGCTTGATGAAAAAATTACAAACTTCATTTTTTGTATGTACTTCTATCTATTAAAAACTTACAACCTTGATCTACATAAAACATTGAAATCTTGTTCATTCAAAATTAAGGTCAATACAATGTATCATGGCTTCAAGTCATGTAAACATAATTCAAATGATTTATTTAACATTGCGATTTCCACTATTAAGATCATCATTCACAAACAATACTCATTTAAATTCAAGCAAGGATAGGGAATAAATCCCATAGTACAGTAAAACATGATTACAGCAAACACAATTTTAATGAATTCACAGTTTCTGTGATTTTCCATTGCATTTATAACATTAAAATTGTTTGTCCTTGGCACCTCATTATAATAATTGTCAGTTTAATTTTACATTTTTTTTCACTTCATAACAGATTCTAATTTAAGCAATACCCTGACTCTGAATGGTCTGTTGATGGCTGTGGTGGGATTTTTCATTGGGGGTGTGGCCAATCTAGTCAGTGCAGCAATCTCAGCTGATCTTGGTGAGTATAAAAAACTGTATATAAAGAACACCCAAGAATTTAAGATCTGTCAAAACTGTAAAGTCTTTGCATCCAAATAGACTATCTCATGTAATTTAAGTTTCAGAAACTCATGGCAACAAAAGTTTAAAATTTGACTACAGTACAGCCATTACTGTGTCTGCTAAAACAAAGCTTTAATGTGTCAATCTACCTTGTAATTACATACAGTCAAATCTGAATATCTCTGACTTACTGAGTATCTGGAAAATCTGAGATATAAAGCTGTCAGAATGTTCAGTATACCAGGAATTTACAGCGAATTACAAAATACCAGTAAAGTTTTCAATAGCTAGCTGGATAGCTCAATAGGGTATACAATTTGTTCTAACAAGTATCACATTAGGATTGAAACTAGGTCATGAAGTTACTCAGGTGTATCATTAGATTTTACAGGTAAATGTGAGTTGATTTCAATGTTGAATGAAGCCACATGTATGTGCCAAGGTGTTCTGCTGTAAATAAATGCATTGTTTTTCTTTAATTGCAATTTTTTTCAGTAAAATTGTATGCTAGCTCTTTCAGTAATGCATAAATCTTCTGCATACTATTCTTTCTAATTGCTCTAAAGTCTTGTCAGTTCTGAAATTAAAACCTATTATAATCTATTTTCATGACCTACAAACAATTTCAAATTATAGGGTAAAATTTTTCATTTGGACAAAAGTTTCATTCTTATCAATAAACAACAGCAACACTAATTAAAACAAGAGAAAATATGGGGGAGGTTGAGGATGGAGGGATTAAACTATGCCTATGCCAGCAGTTGCAAATCTGAACTCTTGGGGCCCATTTTATAAAAGAACTTACGACTAATTCTTAAAAATTTTTAACATGATAGTTTTTAATTCTCATCACAGAATAATTTTGTGAGATTTTGCTTTTATAAAATTACCTAAGTTAACTAATTTTTTCATATAAAGTATAAAATAACAATTTATACAATGTAAAGATTAAAATAATTTGCAAAAGCGCTTAGTTTTAGTCATAAGTTCTAAGTATAAAATAACAATTTATACAATGTAAAGATTAAAATAAATTGCAAAAGTGCTTAGTTTTAGTCATAAGTGTTTTTGTAAAACAAGTCCTTAATTCAAATTTCAGATTTTCAGAGAGTTACAGAAAGTAGAAATTTGCTGGGTGTGGAGATGTTGATCATAAATTAATTCAGTACAAGTTATATTTGTTATCTATATTATTATTAAATTATTTAGTATATTTATGTGTTTATTTAAAATCCATATGGTGAGAGAAAAATGAAGTGGAAAGCTAACTTCCTTACTTGTTAAAAACAATACCTTTTTGCAAGGAAGGAGTGGGGGGGGGGGTGTTATTCATTAATGCTGCAAATTAACTGAAATTTGCAATAAAAGAAATTAAGTTAAATGCGTTAATTTACAGCAGAACACATTGACACATACATGTGGATTCATACAACATTGAAATCAACTCACATTCACCTGTAAAATCTAATGATACACCTGAGTAACTACATGATCTAGATTCAAACTTATTGTGATACTTGTTAGACCAAATTGTAAACTCTATTGAGCTATCCAGCAAGCTATTGAAAACTTTACCGGTTTTTTGCAATTCGCTGTAATTAACAACTTTACTAAGACCCACCTAGACATAGCCCTGGTATTCAACATATCCATATTTGAAATACTCATTTAGTTAACTTCTTTCGCTTTTTCAAGTACATTTTATATTTCCTTAGCAGTAGTTTTGTTTATTCAGTATCCACTTCTAGTAAAAGGTTATAAATGATCAGACATCTCAATGTTTTATTTTAACAGGAAAACAGGGACCAGTTCAGGGAAATAGTGAAGCCTTGGCAACAGTGACTGGGATCATTGATGGAACAGGAAGTGTCGGGGCAGCCATTGGGCAGGTTAGAGAGAGATTTATTGTATTTGGGATAATTTTAATGGAATATTTGTTGCTGTGAATGTTTATTTAATGTCAGTAAAAAATCATTGTAATGCTGAAAAAAAAAACTGAAATCCTTGTAAAATTTCTGTAATACATGTACATGTGAAAGTTTAATTTAAGGCATTTATGCCAGAAAACTATATAAATATTCCAGCTTGGGTGCTTACAACACATTGGATTCAAATCATAGTATCTGCATATATGATGTTGATATGGTATAGTGGAATCACTCTGGGTCCCGAAAACGTCCTCTTTGTGACTCAAGTTTTTGTCATTTCAGATTCTTGTGCCAGTGATACAAGATGGTTTGGGATGGAGATCAGTGTTTTACCTGTTTATGTTAATGGTAAGCAATAGATAATGTGCTGAAAAGTAACTGTGTTTAAAAGTATCTTTCCTGAATGGTAGTAATTCCATGGAACTTCTGAAAAATGATCCAAGAAAGAAAAGCTCACATGCAATGAACAATTTCACTTTCAGTTCTTGGTACACACATACACATGTACATGTAGCTAATATCAACTATCAAGATACACAATTCTGTATATATGTATTCAATTTTATTATGAACATTTTTGTGGATACTCGAATAATCTCTGAAATTCTTTCATCATGCTACCTGCCATCAGTTTTGGTTTGATTTCAGTAAAACTAAGTACAAGTGTAGAAAACAGGAAGATAGATAATTCTGTAAATGTTTAACTAAAGAAAATGTTTCAAGTTTAGGTGCACCTTTTATTCCAGTAGTAAAAGTAAAAACAGAGAGAGCTATATGACTTACCAGAGAGTTTTAATTTATTTATTTCTTACTTTTCTCTTTTTTTTCCTTCCAATGCAGACACTTCTTACAGCCCTATGTATTCTACCTTTGTTTGTAAGAGAAGTGAAAGACCTGTATGCTAAGAGAAGAGTCAGGTATTCCTGGTTCACTGGTGCTTCTGTCTCTAACGGGACTGAGGATACTGAGGAATTGTTCAACTGACCTTGACCAGTTATATATCTATATTTTCCAGTTTGTCTCTGACCAAATGTTTATAGATCAGCAAGCTTTTTTAGAAGTACACAAAGTACAACAGAGGCTGTATAACGGTATTTTTTAAGGTGTCTTAAAAATGTACAATTGTTTTTATCTTCCATTCTGGTATATAAAATTACCATGCTGGGCATTTGTACATACATGTATATTTATGAAAAAGAAATCTACATTGCACTTATTATTAGTAAAATTTACACCACCATGGATATCTGAACACTAGCAAATACTATTTCTAGAGTATGCAGTCTGACTGTTTAACAACTGTTATAATGTACAATGTATGCATAATATGGGCTATGCTGCTAGTCAACTTGTACGTGTATAATTTTTCTGCAACTGGAATACCTCTTTGAAAACTAACCTCCATCTCAATTGTCATTCCTTTTTTTAAACTTTTGTAAATTAGTTTAATACAGCTTTTAGCAATATTGTCTAGTCGTTTTTGGGTTGAGTTTTATATTTATGGTTTATCATTTTACTGGGCTATTGCTTTTACAGAACATTTCATGGTGAAATGGGTTTGGTATTTTTTTTCTGAATTTTTAAGTCTTGAATGTATGGTCATTTTAACTTCGAATAGTTAGACATATCTCAAAGGATTTTTTTGATTGTCATTTTAGAGCGTTGTTTTTCGTGCAAACAACATATTTTAGCAGGTCCTTTTATTTCTTGGGTGAGTTTAGTTGTTTTAAGCAAATAATCTGGACTAGATATTTTAACATATACATGTATATGAATTACATTGAAATCTGTTAGAGTTGTGTTTATATTTGTCAAATGATGTGTAAACATTTTCTTTTAACTTTATGCCTCTTTCTCTCCTCTCTCTCATTAAGGGTGGGGGGGGGGGGTTAAAGGTGGGAGGCATCCCTTTTCTACTGGGAACTGAATTTACCCTGAGTTGTTTATATACAAAATCCAAATACATTATAATTGTGCAATTTTTAAAAAAAATGTTTCAATAATGAAACAATACCTTTTTTTAATTAAAATTTTAAGTAAGTTCTACAAATACTTCTTTAAAAGAGTTGAAATTAATTTTATATGTAGGAGTTATTACACTTAAATATTAATTGTTATGTGTACATATATACATGTAATATATATTTTGAATTGAAATAAGTGTATCCATGAATTTGTGAGATTAATACAAAGATTTAAATGATATTATTCTTTTCTTATTTATGAATAAAAATTATATGTTCTTTTCCACATTTGTTAAGAGCAAGCATATAATACTTCAGCTTTACGTGCCTACAGTAAATGCTTGTGATTAGAAACATCATTTCAAAATTATCTAATAATTATTTATGGAATTATTTTTAGTGATGAACTGTGATGTTACTGTGCAATTACATATGTAGCTGGAATTGAAAAGAATTGTCTCTATATACATGTATCTAAGAGTTATTTTTATTGAATGTTACTAATACATAAAGCAAATGAAACAGATTATTGTTTAGTTAATGAATTAAAAAATAAAGAATTTGGTTAAAGAAGGAGCCATTGTACTTCTATTTTCCAAATGAGTAATGGTGTTACATAATTATAAATTTTCCATAATTGCCCTTTTTTTCTACCAAGCTGGGATATGTACCATAGTCTGACTATGTATATGACTCAGATCTTCCTTTAGATCTTGTATAAAGCAGAGTGACTGGGTAAAATTTTGTTTCAAGCATCTCTTGTCGTTAATCCCTGTAAAGCTTGCCTATAAGCAAATGGGCATGGATGTTGCATTTAGGACTGTGTATGACTTAGTATTGCCTTTAATATGTTTTTTTAATAAATTTGCAATTACTGAGGTAAATCTTCATCTGTTGAAGACACAGTATGCATTCAAATATTTCTATAAAAATTTCGAATTTACTCCAAGACATTAAACAATAACAAAAACAGGAACACAAATAATTGTGGTTTGAAATTGACAAGAGGGGGAAAAAATTAAATATCAGTTCATCATAGCTGACCACTCCATATCTGTAATCAACATTTCAGAAGCTCTATATTGGTATCAATATTCCATTTAAATTTCATTTGGATATGTGAAAAGGGTTGTACAGTGTCATATTCCTCCTTGCGTTAGACAACATCTTTTTAAAATGTTGTAACTTTGGAAATATGCGTAGACATTTCTTCACTATCGACATCTGTGTTGACGGACATGATGGAAACGGTCTGAGCAATTTCACCAGTACCACAGAACTCTTTCATGGACATCACCCCGAACTTCACCTGTTCCACCCCCATCACGACCCCTGCTTTTACACGACTGGCAGCCTGACTTCCGGTGTCTTTGACCGTCTCTCGGATTAAAATCACTTGACTGCGGACTTTCTTTATTTTCTTTCCCAGCTTTGTTTTGACTCCTGATGTTGCTGTTGTGTTTTCACTCTCGTTTGCATCTTGTGAGGAATTGCCGTCGTCTGCGTCCCTTAGAAGAGGATCTGCCTCTGAACATCCGTCTTCACTGTGTTCCGTAGAAACAATCAGTGAATTTGGCTTGATAGCCTCTTGGCAACGACTCCTAGGACTTGTCTTTTTCTTTTTGAGTTGTGGTTGTGCACATTCGCATTTGCAGACGTGAACGGCGCACATCTTTATAGTCCCAATAAATATACTTAATAGTAACACACTTCCAGCACACACCATTCCAAAGAAAACGCTCATCCACTGTATATCAAATAATTTGGTCATGGAATACAACTCGACACTTGACGTGTCATTTCCATATTCATTGATTAAAGTACACACGTACTTTCCATGAAGACCATTTGCAAAATTTTTGATAATCAATGTATTATTTTCAGAAACTGTGATGTGAGACATTTCTTCGGATCTTGTGGACTTGTATCCTATTTCTGGAATGGCTGTAATGTTTAACTTTGCGAGGTATTGTATATGGTATTTAGAAGCTATTCTGATACCTTTGGGCGTCACCCAGTATCCTATCCCGTGGGTGTCTGTATTGCAGTGTAGAGATACCTCAGATGCAATGATCGCGATGCGAGAAGTGGATATTTGACCAATCGAAGGGCCGTCACATTTTAAATTCTCGTCTTTAAGATTTAAAATGATTGTATCCTTAAGACTTTTTGGATAATAACACATCAACAATTCTTTGTTGACTATTACATTTATGTTTGTATTCAGATATTCTAAAAAGTAAACAATTTCACAAGAACAGTCCCAAGGGTTTCCTGAAAGCGATAAATGTTTCAATTTTCCAAAAATAGTCAGCCATTGGTTTGGTACCGTCCATAATTTGTTATCGCCCAAGTTTATGGATTTCAGATGAGTCAAGTTTTGAAAAATGTTTCCAGCTATCCAGTGCAATTGATTACTGCTCATATCCAACTCTTCCAACATTTGTAATTGATCAAATATACCATCAGAGAGATTAAAGATTCTGTTATAACTTAGATTTAGGCGTTTTAGTTTAGTAAGATTCTGAAATAATGCATTTGGGAGCTCTTCTATTCGGTTTTCGCTAAGGGAAAGATCTTCAAGGTTCTGAAATTCTCCAAATACAGTCGTGGATATAGATGTTATGTCATTGGAACTTAAGTCTAATAAGTTCAATAACTTTGGATTTTTTAAACTTAAAATTTCTATTTCTTGTATGGAGTTTCGACTAAGGTCCAGTCTTATAAGCCCAGTGAGGGATGATAAAATTTCATTTGGAATGGCACCAATTTCTCCAAATAAAGTCAAAGATGTAATAGTATAATTTCCAGGAATATCTTTTATCAAAAATCCCTTATAATACGATGTGCAAACTGCCTCTTTATGAATTTCATCACATAAGCAATAATTTGGACACTCGTACAGCGTCTTTGTTGTCTGTTCAGTGGGTGTTTTTCTATTGCTGATATAGGCAAAATGTGAAATACGTAGAGTTAAACACAGTTGAATAGTAAAGAGAATAGTTTTCATTGTGAGTGTTATCCTTGGTGAGGGTCTGAAATTAAAAAAAAACACAATTTATGATTAACAAGCCTTGATATATAACGAAGAATGTTCAAAACAAAACTTTGTAAAGCAGGAACTTTCTTATTCTTTCTTTTTTTAGTGAATCTGAGTCGTATCTAATATTTTAAACATTACACATTCATCGATTATTTAGTATTTATTAATTATGAATATAGCCTATCTTGTTCTTGACTGGAGGATGGATTTAACCTATTCGAACATTTGAATATATATATATATATATATATATATATATATATATATATATATATATATATATATATATATATATATATGTGTGTACATTTTTTTTTAATTTAATGTCGAAGTTATAAAAAATATCGTTGGTAACCAGCCATAAAGTTTAAGCCAAATAATATAAAGGCATTAAAAAAAGTTAAATTGCTTCAGATAAGATTCTATCAAAGAACAGATAGAATATTGTTCTCTGTCGGTTTTAGTTCTCGGAAGTTTTTCCATACCTTTTCAAGTAGTTTTAGTCTGAATCACTGTATTCAGTTCCTTGTATTCCAAATTCCTTGATCACTTCTGTTCCATTGATTTGGAAATTTGTTTATCACGTGTATTGACCATTTAATTTCAGAATTGTTTGTGTGACCATGTCGGTTTAAATCACCTTTACTCGCAGGGATTAGATTTTGGGATAGCTTATATTTAGTTGTTTTGAGTATAGTCTACTTTTTTTAATCCCCTCAGCAGACAAATGCTGACATGACTCATTCCATATATGAAACTGTTGTGCATTGCATTTTAAAGTGATTTCTATAAAGTAAACACTAACAAATTGAAGTTTTTGAGGAGCACTCTGATGCTTATTTCCTTTCTTTTATATTTACATTTTCAAATATCTTAAATTTGTTTGAGATAAAACTACAAATAAGGGAATAGCTTTATATCCTCATAAAGCGATTTGCTCAGCACGTGACAGAACGCCATACAATCTTGCTGTGTGTTGCTAAAGTAATACGCTGGACGTGGCCTGCATAGATTTCTCATTATTGAACAAAACATTTTTTTTCATTGAATCAAGGATAGAGTGAAAATGTAAATGTAAGGAAAAACTTTTTTAAAAAAAAAAAAAGGGAGGGGTTATGATAATTATCAATCAGTTTACTCGTCTGCATTTATCACGCAAGCAAACTTAATTATTCATCACATCATAAAACCAAAAGAACCAGCAGACCAGTTATTCCATGCCGTTGTCTAATTTTCCGAGAAACTTCTGGCTCCATATCGATTTCTTTTAAATAATCAACCATTACATGTAACAATAAGCGTACGATAATTGAATAGAAAGAATTTAAAAATGTATCAATAAAAAGCATTTAAAATGTACCAGTCGCCCGCGTGGCGCTGTGGTAAGAGTGACTGCTCTAGAGTCTCGGTGTAAGGAGTTGATCCTTACGTCGCGGGTTCGAATCCACTGCAGGACGTGGAGGCCGGTCCTTCGGATGAGACCATATAAACCGAGGCCCCGTGTAGGAGTAGGAGTTGGCAGGAAC